AGGTGGGGGTCCAGTCTTCTTCGCTCCTCACCAGCTGCTACTGCTGTTTTCAGCTAGACAGGCCCGGAGCTTCTCTGCCGCACTGAGGGCCAGCTTGGGATAGCCTCTTCCATCCCATTGCTGTTTAATACACTTCATGCAGTAGCTGGTCCACAGGTAGTGGTACCGGATCCATTCAGTAAATTCCAGACGATGGAACAGAGAAGGTTTTCCCGCGTCTAGCTGAACTCCTTTCTGCCGCCATTTCACCTCTCAGCTAGCAGCGAGTGGGCGAGATTTCACTTCTCTGAGAGCTGAACTAGGCTGACAGGTATCTGAACAGCAGGTGGGGCAGTGATGGCGCAGCTATCAAGCCGTCTTGTGCTTTACCCATGTGGTTACACCCCCCCCCTCCGCTCCAGTTGTGGATCTTAAGGGAGCACTGAAGTACAGAGTGGAGCTGGTTTTGCCGTTCTGATGTAGGCCTGGAAGAGCAGAAGAGATATGATGAAGTCAATTGGAGCAGCCAGAGCTATATGCTCCTGACATTTGAATTATTGAATCAGTGTACTATTTTGCGGTGCTGAGACATTTTAAAATATTATTTTCAGACGATTGCAAAGACGCTTCTACTCTAAGTGGATGATGTCACGCCCTCTAGCTCTGAAGAGCCCCTTCCCCAGGTTGCCAACTTGGGTACCGGCGGAGTGAAGATTTTGCTATCATCGGGTTTAATTACACAATCGCTCAACGAAGACTGGATATCGTGTTCAGCAGCGGCATCTGTATCATAGGTATATAGGAGTATATATACGATATATTACAATACACAATATGGACACAGACTTTAAGGGCACATAGTGCATTCACTAATGAAAGTCAAACACATGTTGTTGGTCCGTTTTATTTGTCAAAGCGATCGCGATAACATTAAATGAGCTTATGAGATAGCAATAAATAAATGACACTCGCATAAAGGCGTTGCCCTATACACGAGGAATGCGACTAACAGTTGAAAGGGATGTACTTGAATTATCGATTATATATTAAAAATTTATGCAGTGCGAAAAAGGTTATACAACGCGTGCCGACAAATTATCGATTATCACAAGAGGCCGCGAATGTTTCCAACCAAATTTAATTTCGATGGACCCCATGAACATACACACACAAACAAATCTACAGACTTTTACTCAAAACTGCCAGCAAAATATATTAATTAACACACTCTCCACTCTCATTATACTCTTTTGACTCTAATTTGGCCAGATAAAAAATAAGCAGCAGACTTTACTTTTGATTCATGTCAACTGAGGATCTTAGATCTGTGCATGCGCCAATACGGGTCGGCAGTGCGGCCTCCAGAGTATGTTGTGTTGGTAAGTCTATGTAGGCTAAACCCATACAGCTGGGGGGCTCAAGTCAGTATTTTGCAATGTAATTTTACATACACGGCCTCCCCTGAACAATTGAAACGCCACGCGAGGCGTTTAGATTATTTCCCCTGCTCTCATCCAAATTGAACGTATGAAGATAAAAGGCACAATTTTCTTGAGCTGAAAATAAAAAGGGCGACCTTGGAGCCAATCCTGGCAATCTCCCCCAGCGTGAAAAGATGTTGACATGCCTGAAAACCAAAAACCCCTGCCAGGGGGGTCTGGGGATGTCCCCCCCAGGAGACTTTATTAAATTTTAATACTAACATAAAATACACATTCTGGTAGCCTATACTCTCGTTTGAAGAAAATAAATACATCTATTACTACACGACATATTTAAAAAAATGAATGCCACTTTTGTTTTTTGTTACTTTGTTCTGAAAGCTGAACCTGCTGCTCCTCACAGAGAGAAGAACAGGGAAGAGGCTGTGTGAATTACTTTACATTGTGGATAAGGGTGGATAGCCCCCATTGTTCTGTGTGTCAAAATGAAAGACAGCCCACACACCTATCAATCATCAAACCGTGGGGTCTTATTTCATTACGTGTTGATTTCTATCAACACGTAATGTTGTATCGATGTATATAGTTGAGATGTACTACAGCAAAAGTATTTTGCATCGGGACTTCCTGCAACAACACCACGCAGTTATCTTGATTCTGATTGGTCAGAAGACATTATCAAAGATGTTCTCTTGAGAAGACGATCACTACGTGACAAAAGTTTTCAAAACCGTTTCTAGTCTTCGTTATTCTTGTTTTTGGCGTGAGAATAGTTTTGGCAGCGTGAGAGCGTGAGATTGAGAATGAAAGCGTGTGTCACACGCCAGATGCGTGAGAGTTGGCAACCCTGGGAGACACCCGTTATAAAATCTAACACGGACTGAACATGTACCAAAACTTAAACATTGATAATTCAATAACTGTAAAATATATCAAAAAGCTGAAAACAACTTTAATAGCTGAATGTCTTGTGACCATTTTGGAGTTAGAATGAAGTCTCTAGCTGAAAGTTTGTGGAAGGAGCAGACTGTATATATAAATGGACGTAGTGTCCGTGACGTCACCCATAGGATTCTGCAGAGTTGCCGAGAAGCCCTTAGTAGGCGGAGTTGGCCACTAACGCTTGACAGCGACGTCAGAGTCTAATCCCGCCTGCTCCAAATAAGGGCAAAGAGGCGGAGCCGAGGCGGGACCTGCTGCCTCCGAACTGGAAGTAAACAGAGCTAGCTCAGGCTAAGAAGCTAAGCTAACATGAAATACATGCATACCAAGTTACTGCTAACAGTGTAGTTCCCCTATATAAACGTTACATTCATAATCAAATGAGACAATCTGCAATAGAATTAGCTATATTTTGTTATTCTTAATGCTTGTCATTCACACGTTAAGAAAAGAAGTACCGATACATAGCAGAACAATTGTGGCTATGTTCATCTTAATAAGCCTTGTTCAACATAATTTATTTAGCTAATACTACAGCAGGCGAACCAAGTCTGCGTTTCGCTGCATTCCTTGATCTCCAGTTATAACGACGGACTCCATCGCCCGGACCTAACGGAGCCGCAGTGGGTTAGCTCCAGGACGCCGGCTGGAGCTAGTCCCCTGCGGGTCCGTTAGCTCCGGCAGCCACCACTGGGATAATTGGGTCCCCTATTAACATTTGCTCCCGTTTAGCATTATGGACGTCATAGCCATAGACTATAAAAGTCTTACCCAAGGCTGAATCATAAACTAAAATGTATATGTATGTATAAAGGGTAACGTCCTTAGCTGGCTAATAAGTAACAAGCTAAGCTACCAAGCACAAACACACCTGCGAACGGGATTAACATGTATAATATTATCATTTTAGACTACTTGGAAGTTCTGTTAGTACATTCAAGCGCACAGAACGACATTTTAATTGTCTGGTATTTGTAACAATATTCCCTAAAAGGCACAATCACCACGAACACGGCTAAAGCTAAAGGGTCAAGTACAGTACTATGACTAACTAACGTCGTAGCCTCTATGGTTTTAGCCTAGCAGAGTGGACAAGTTGCTGTTAGCTGACAGTGAGGCATGTACATGTCCATCAAAGGGACCACGCCCTAATTTATAAAAAACTTTAAGACCTAATATAAATAAAGGGTCGTGTTAGAAAACAATTCACTCACAGATTCATAATCATGAAGGTGGAATCTAACTATATCGATAATAATATTTATTGCATCCATGGGTAGAAACAGGTTTTTTTCTGCTGTAAAGTTGGGCATTTTAACATGGGGGGTCTATGGAAATTGCTCCTTTCTGCAGTCAGTCCTTAGCGGCCCATGTATGAACTGCAGTGTGTATCACTTCCGTACTGGCGTCCCGACTGTTCCCCAGAGTTTGCCGCTTGGGCGAGCATTGTGTTGCCATGGCAACGGCATTTGAAAAAATCTCAAAACTGTCCCCTAGATGTCTTCACGGCTGGACTGTTAGCACACATGTGAAGTTTGAGCACTTTTTGAACATTTTCATAGGAGTTAATGTATAGCGACATTGTCTTTTTTGGCGAGGGATGCGTTTCCATGGAAACGGCATATGATGACACCCCATAATTGACGTAGAGCTGTTGAGGGCAGGACCATTAACCATTATCTGAAGTCTGCTGCTCTGCGCATGTCAGTTGGAGTTATGACATCATCGTGTTTCATGACACAGGTGTTTATATTTGAGCTAAAACGTGTCCAGAGATCAAAGGTTACCATGGTGATGTGCAGTAATCAGTGAGAGGAGAGCATTTTCAATGTTCGGAATAAAAGATAAACCTCTTACATGTGAACGTTTTGTTGAAGAACAGTAACAGATATCGGTGAAATTTCAAAGCCTGAATTATGTCAAGGAACTTGAGCATCTGAAGTGTACATTTTGTGTACTTTCGGGTTAATAATGTGGCCTTTTTAGCAGATTAACTAAAGGTGTGCGGCTGCTGTTGTGGGGATCGATGAGGCTGAACTTACAATGGGGTTTAATGGAGACATGTTGAACGTTTTTGTCACTTCATGCCCTCCAGAGGCATTTTGTTTAATTATTTTGCTTAATTTATTTTTATTTTTCAAGCTATGAGATGTTTTCCTACGTTTCTCATGAAAAATTATGTCTCAGGAATGTAGGGTTTGGGAATTATGGCAGGTGTAAAAGGGCAAAATTAAATCTGTCCTCCACTCTAGCTGTGACATCACGCACTCTAAAATCTGAAGAAGGCCTCTTTACCAAGGTCTGAACCATGTTTAATATCTCTAAAAGTACGAATCAGATTTAAGTGTTACACGAATAATGTCAGAAAGATGTGTGACATTTTAAAGTTAGAATGAGGTTTGAGTGAAAGTATGAAGGTGCAGTTAGCAGTTGAAGTCGCATGAAGATTTTTGAAGTCTGAAGAGTTTCTCCATTGACTTCCATGTTAAAAATGTGATGAATTTTGGGATGTATCTCTGGAATTATGAAAGTTATGAATGATAAAAGTAATAGCCATTGATTCCCGACCGAGCTGAACGTGTTGATGTTTGAACGGAGTTTCTGCGATGTTCAATGTGGGAGAAGAAGAGGCGCAAAATAACCTGGCGGAATAATAAAGAATTTTGTGCGTAGCATAACAGATAGTTTTAGCAGTCACAATAGGCTTGTTCCGCTTACTGCTATAATTTGGCTTTGTGCGTCTTATTACTTTATTCTAGAGATTAAATGGTAAGTTAAGCCACTATTTGGATAACTTATTAACAATTTGAGTCAATTCAAGCAAACTGACATTTAGATTAGTGCATTCTCACATATACAGGTATTAATATATATTTTAAAATAATTTAGCAATAAGTTTGAACATTTGAACAATTCATCTTCAAAATAAAATGTTAAAAGAGATCAAAATAACGTTTCAAGAGTTAGTAGTAATGTTAACCTGATAGAAATACACAATTTACATTAATATTTTTTTTTTTAAATAACGATAATGTAAATGTTGGTAAGAGTGATGTATACAAATTATGATAACAATATTTATTTTTTAGTTTCACTCAAATACTTATTTTTATAATCATACTTTGAGAAAATAATTGTCAGATTGTTCTAATCATCATTGTAAATCAATGAATTAGCTGCAGCCCTAGTGCATTGTTGACCCAGCGGTTTTACCATCTCTGTCTTTTATTTATATTAATTGGAGCTTCAGCTAACAATTCGCTTTGTATTGATTTAGACAGCTAATCTCTCATTATACCATATGGAAAACAAAGAAAAGGAAATTAACATTGTTGCTCGAAAAAGGCTCGAAATGATGACCATCTATTATTTAGACGGATTGCTGATAATTATTTTTATTAATTAGTCGATTGTTTCAGCTCTAATTACTCTAGTGACTGCTCATTACATCACTGCACTCTAATTTTGTTCTAGCTTTAGCCTTAACTATCTAACTGAGACTTGTGCCCTTCCTTCAGGGCCACAAACGCGGCCCCTCGGATGTGAGCGTGGCCAGCTCGGAGGATGAGAAGATCCCCCTCTCTCCCTCCATCTTGGAATCCGTCCCTGAAAAGGTGGAGCCAGTTGTGCCCTTGCCCAGGCCCACTGAGCTCCCTGTGGACAACCATGTGGTGGACACAAGCTTTGTGGAGGAGACCGCGGCCCCTGCAGCTGAGGAGCCCATGGAGGAGAGCCCAAAAACTCCAGCTAAAGATGAGGAAGAGAAAGCAGTGGAGGAAGATGTTGCCTCCCCTGGACCAGAGCCAGAACCAGAGGCACCTGCGAAGGAAATGCAGCAGCTGGAGATCGCCGCTGAGGACGAGAAGGAAGTGGACACAGCCGAGGTTCCTCAAAGTCCAGAGGTCACTGAGGCTCCTCAGGAGGAAACCATGGAGGATCCAATCACACCAGCAGAGGAGGAGGACGACGAGGAGCGGTACAAAAACCTCAAAGTGACATTGACACTACCAGAGCAAGATAAAGTGGTCCCAAAAGAACAGAATGGAGAGAAGCCCTCAGAAAAGGAGAACGCAGAAGACGAGAAGACGGTTCCAGACAGAGCTAAGGATGACAAAGAGAGGGATTCAGACTCTGGGACTGGATCTGCCGCAGATAACAGCAGCGGGGACCTCAATCTGTCCATCTCCAGCTTCCTGTCCAAAACTAAAGAGCCTGGATCTGTCTCCGTACAGGTAACTCGCGCTGCATTACAGGCTTTCAGAGACTTAGACTTTGCTGTTTAGCATTAATATCTTATTATTACCAAGACACCACTGTATACATCGTAGTACAATGTACACATTTCTACTTAAACTTTTTATGTTTTATAAATATTTGTATATATTTTTTTCTTTATTATTTTTATTGACACTATTAAACTCCATATCAGAATCAGAAACGGGTTCATTGCCAGGTAGGTTCACACATACGAATAATTTGTTTGTTTGTTTAGAAATAGTTTTAATTGTACTAATGTCTATATTACATTTTAGCTTTTTATTGCTCATTATTTAACTACTTATGTTTAATTCAAGAATTTTTCTTTTCTATATTTCCTTTTTTATATATATACCTTTTTTATGTGTATATAAATATTTCATTTTTTCTTTTTATTGCGCATTACATTAGTTCTTTAATTCACATAATTTCTTCCTATGTTTATATTAATAACCCATTTTTTTCGGGGATGAATAAAGTATACTGATTCTAATTCATTCTTATATGTATATATAAACTTTTTCTGTCTTTGTTCCAAGGACAACAAGCGCCATAAGAAGACGCTGAAAAAGACTCGCAAATTCATTGTGGACGGAGAAAAAGTTAGCGTTACTACATACAAGATCATCACTGACAATGATACGAAGAACGAGGAGATGAGATTCCTAAGGTATTCATCAATTTTAAATAAATAACAATTCTGCCCAGAAACTAGTGTACAACCTGATTGTGTGTAGCTGATCTCTTCCTCACCACTGTGGCCTGCTAAATGCTGAAGAAAGACAGAGAGTTAACACCCTTTCTCTCTCTTCCTCCCCCTCTCCAGGCGCCAGGAGCTGAGGGAGCTGCGTCTCCTGCAGAAGGAGGAGCAGAGGGCCCAGCAGCAGCTCAGCAACAAGCTGCAGCAGCAGAAGGAGCAGATCTTCCGCCGCTTCGAGCAGGAGACCACGGTGAGGCCCACAACTGGCATTCATATTGTTGTCAAACCCCTCATTGACATGACGCATTACCTCGCCCCTACACATTACATCACCACTACAAGTGTAATCCAAGACCCCAGAAAGTGCCTCGGGCATTGAAGCTAATTTCCGTAGTGGCCAAAAGTTGGTACTACAACTTCTGTGTCAATCCGTGACCTCATTGGGCCCAAAAAATATTTTCCCCAAAGACTTACATTGGGAAAGAGACGTGTGTAAAACAGTGGATATTTTCTTCGAGATGATTCAACTACCAAGCACAAACACTTTTATAGCCTTTATTTGAATCCTGAAAGTCTGAAGGTTGAAAATGTGGTGAAAGCGAAATTCAACTCATCTCATCATGCGGATAGAAGGCGGGTCTTAGGGAAAACGCTTCCTTCATGGGCCCTGATACCACTACATTTGCTCTGGAGACAGTCCTTTTTGGCTTCATGTGCCACTGAGCAGCTTTCATAGGATTTAACAGGACCCCGTCTTCAACGCTGTATCCAGTACTCATAGGCGGCGCGTGAGGCTCAGGTTTGGGAAGGCTATATAACTTTTTTTACCTGACGCTGCCCGCCTCCGGCGTGTATAGAAAAGAGATCAGCTCAGTGAAAGCACCGCCTGCTGACCAATCAGAGCTCAGTGTGCAGAGTTTAAATCTATCAAGTCATATTACAGGATAAAGGAAATACAGTTTAAATTGCCGTATGCAGAGAAGACGCCGACGTGTCGCACTTATCATTCATATCACATCATCAATCAGATCATCGATCATATAATATCATAATGTGTCATATATTTCCTTATCTGAGTCAGCTTCTTGAGGCGTATCTTGCCGTGCAACACTTACATTGTCACATACTGTATGAATGAGTATTATTTTAATCAACACATTAGGTTGACGAAACACTCAACTCAAATGTAATTAAAGTCAGATCCACTCGTGTCTTAGATGGGGCAGTGATATCATAAAACTGTTGTACGCTTTCAAACACTCTGTAGTTTATTTATTTTTTAACCAGTTGTTCTATATTCACCTTGCAGGTGCAACTATGCTGCTTGTATCCTGGATTATATGTTTAAGTCATGGATGTTTAAAGTTCATATTTGTCTAATATTAGTTTACTTTTCATTAATGAAGTATGACGCTGCGCTGTCGGTACACTTTTCCCTGTTTGATTGGTCAAATGTTGCTAACCTCGCCCCTTTCACGTGAACGCGCTCTCAGCTGGAGAAAGAAACCCTGGCTTTATTTACCGAGTTGATAACCAGCGTCGTAGGACCGCTTAACGAGATCTCGTTTGTTAGGGTTAGTTAAGATAACTCAAAGATATCCAGGGTATGTTGAACTGGCTTCGTAGTGCACAGGGCACAGATGGCTGCATAGCAGCGCTAATGTGAAAGACACAAACATTATATTTTTATTTTACCAGGATGCAGTGACAAAAATATTTGGGAAGGCTTAGCCTTCCCTAGCCTACAGTACCCGCCGCCCCTGCCAGTACTCCTTATACGTCCATGGTGTAACTCCAGTCCTTAATTAACATTAACCTTAACTGAAGTCTTAAAGACCTGAGGAGTGACCTCATAGGGTCTAAAAAAAGTCCCCACAAAGACAGACGTACAAGAGCACACTCGTAACCTTACAACTTAATCAGAATCATGTTTACTGCCAAGCAGGGTTTCACAAACAAGCAATTTTCCTTGGTGTCCAATCGCGTATCCATAAACACACTAAGAGGAAATTAGTTATAAAAACAAGCAAATAAATAACAATTTCAATACTATAAAAAATAAAATAGGAGAAAAAAATAAATATATATATATATATATATATATATATATTCAAAAAAGCAAGTATGAAAAATTACTCTGAAAAATTCAATGTGTACAGTTAACCAGAATTAGCTGTGCAGTTACAAAAAAGGATCTTGTGAAAATATTGTTCTGTTACTCTGTTATGTATTGCTTACTTAAGCCCATTGGTATTTTTTCCTTCAGGAGGAAGTACTTTTCTTTGGCATAGATTTAGTTTCATGTATTTACCAAAAGCAGGAAGTATCGTGTGTTTGTACTGTGGGGACAATTTTACCATTTTGTTTCGTCAGCGGCTCTTCCTGGCTCCTTGTCTCTTTATGGAAACTCATGTGCAAGGACGCATGTAGCTTAGTTTGACTCTGCATTCCCTTTAGGAACAACTGCCAGCTTCAGGACTGGCCTCAATTTACCCTGGCAATGAATGTAGCTGTGATTTAGTTTTTTCATTCATAGCCTAAAAAGTTTGAAGGATCAGTTCAAAAACGTGCCTTCTGAACAAAAATAAAGCAATGTATGTAAAAAATGTGCAATATTTGGTTGATTGGTAACGTACCGTATTTTCCGGACTATAAGTCGCACTTTTTTTCCTAGTTTGGCTGGTCCTGCGACTTATAGTCAGGAGCGACGTATATATGTTTTAAATGTCAATTCATGCTGACTGACATGAACCGTCTACAGCCACCAGAGGGCGCTCTAGGCTTGTGACAACTATATGCTGCTCCTGTACCACTGAAAAAAACGAAGAAGAGAGCGGACGGTTCTTCCGGGCTAACCCGGAAGAACCGTCCGCTCTCTTCTTCGTTTTTTTCAGTGGTACAGGAGCAGCATATAGTTGTCACAAGCCTAGAGCGCCCTCTGGTGGCTGTAGACGGNCTCCAGGGTTTCCCACACATAGACTATACTTGGGCGGGCCGCCCAGGTATATTAACGGCCGCCCAAGTATATTTTGCGACCTATTTTTATTTTTTCCGTCCGCAAACATGACGCCATCTGCGATCGATTAACTTGTGGACAATGATCCCTTGCTCTACGCCTTCTGTACCCAGTCCCGGACTGGCCATCGGGAGGACCAGGGGGTTTACTGATGGCCTGGCCTGTTAAGTGGTCTGCCTCACACAGGGTGACTGGCTGTCTACATGATGTGGCCTGTCGACATGGCCACTGTCATACAGTGTGTCATTCAAGCTCGGGATAACCTCAGCTCAGGTGAGGTAAAGGACTCTCTGAGTGTTTAGATAGTTAACTTAGTCTAAGTTCTCAGTGGGTCTCCAACGGTTTGGTCACCATTTATGTAAACACATATTTCCATTTGAGAGTGTCAGTGTTTTTTCATATTGGATATGTTATTGGTTATGGCCCTGATTTTATGAGTATTGAAATGTATACAGTTCTGTTTCATATAGGTGTTCCCAGAGTACATCTAGTCTCTTTATTTCCCCCTCAAAATGCACCTGATTGATGAATTTAACTCCAACATTTAAAATAAAATCTTACCGGGGGAGCATGCCCCCGGACCCCCCTAGAGAATTTGAGGTCCACCCCAACTTAAAATCACATTGATAGGTTCCTAAACAGATTTACCATTAAAAAAAAAAAAATAGTAACCCATGTCCATATGGTTATTTGTGGGTAGTGGATTTAAACTATAGGGCTATCACTATGGGCCCCGTCTGTACCTGTTCGTCTGCCATCTTCTGAAGGGTCTGCTAACAAGCGACCAACAGAAAGGTTAATGTTAATGTTGTTGCACGTCACCTCAACCCCCCGCTACCACCACCCCCACAAGTATTACAAATCGACCAGAACTCTCAGATCATCTGGAACAGGTTTACTCAATGTTCCACGGGTCAAAACCAAACACACAGAGGTAGATTTGAATTGTTTTAAGCTCTGCAGATCTGGAACAAACTTCCTGAGCAGGTGATGATGGCTCCATGTTTTATTATTACACTTCTACACTTCTTGCAGCATTATCTGGATTCACAATGTCTTTTATTAACTAAGTTTTTTTTACCATTTATCTAATTTGTTTGTGAGTTGCGTGTTAATGCCAATGTAAAGCACTTTGAATTGCCTTTGTGTCTGTAATAAACGTATCTAGCCTAGGGTAAAAAACTATAGTGTTTTCTAGTCTAAAGAGTGATGAGTCATGCTTCAAGAGACACAACAAAAGCGCCATATCTGAGGAGGTATCCAGTGACGCGCGCACACACAAAAGGACTAAATCAGAACAAGGGCTAGTACCTGACGATCCCAGTACAAAACCCTGCTAGTAATCGAGCTAGATATCGCACTAAACACTGCACACACACACTACACACACACCGCACACACACTGCAAATTCAGGTTGGTGGAAGGTTAAAAAAGGGGGAAAAAGTCCTGAAACTGCATCAAAACACTAAGTGAAAAACTGTTGGATGATACCCTCACACAGTCAGAAGTCTGTTCAACAGAGGGAATGAGCTGAAAGTGTGTGCCAAAGTTCAAAATCCACAGCAATCTGATCCCTCATTACCTCCTCAGGCAGGGTTTGGATAATATCCTCTTTAATACATTTCATGATAGCGTTTGTCACATGCGTTTGAGAAAGTCCAAATTCCTGTTTGTGTCAGCCATGAGAAGAAAATAAAATGAGCTGTGGACAGATTAGCAATGTGTCACAAAATGAAGGAGAGGTGGCAGCACTGACTGATTTAGCAGCTGGTTATGTAAACACTTATAGGAAAGATCAGAGAGGCTTGGGTGTGTCAAAGTATTAAAACAACTATAAAAAGAACTGTACAAGCTATGCCACCCTCATAAGAGAGGTGAAGGGGAATTAAAAGAAGGCGTGGTTCACACACTGACCTCTTTCTTGCGGTTCTTCAGCATGTTCTGGTACTTGGACAGTTCTTTGTCCTGCTCGGCTTTGATGCGTTTGGCCTCGTCCCGGAGCCGGTTGGTGTGCTCCTGCTCCAGCCGCTCAATGGTCTGCTTCTGCTGCCGCTCCAGGTTCTCCACCTCCTGGTCGTACTGGCGCTTCTTACTCTGCAGGACACACACAGTCATGTCAGTGAGAGGAATCGTTGTAAAATAATTTGATTCTGTTCTATTAGTGTGTCAAATCGGAGAGGCAATACCCTTTGTTATGTACGCTTTCAAAAAGTGCGCAATTTACACTTTTATATAATGCCAAGGCCTCCTTCCTTTGTTTCCTCAAGCCACTTCAGAATCAGAATCAGAATACATTTACTCATCCCACAGAGGGGAAATGTGCATTTTTTACATTAGAAAATAGCCAAAGACAGCTTAATGTTAACTAAGAAGCATGCATAAAACAAATATTAAAGATAAACCAAATATTACACAAAATGTACAAAAAGGTACATTTCTAACTCTTTAGCTTTAAATGTATGAGTTCTAGTCATAGTTGTGAGGACTTCTCTGGCCTCTGATGATTGCTTGATGTTATGCAGCTCGTGGTCAATCAAATAAATGAAGTTCTTTCTACAAACACTCAACAAAGAAAATAGGCCTTTACAAAAGCCTTTCTTTGAATCATGTTGTACTTATTATCATTTAACGGTTGAAAACCGGGTCTGGACGGTGTCTTCCACACAGGGAAGCCATATCTGTTTTTCTTGTAATGCTGCTGCTCATTCGTATTTATTTTTGTTCTTTTTAACCTTTGATGTGTAACTATTTGATTTAATAACGTGTACTTGCCTCTTTATTTAGTAAAGCTAACGTGGAAGTTAGCATTGCCCTGGTTCCCTTGACAAGCCATGGGATTTTCCATTGGATTATGGATTAATCGGAAAGTGAAAAATGCTGATTCATTGCTGGGTTTTAGGTCCTGCAGAATTCTATAGAAGGCATCAAACAGCTAAAAGCATATTAAACCCTGCATGAGGAAATAATAAAGTCATCCTTCACACGGCAAAATTAGTCATTCACAAACCATCTGCATTCAGGCTAACTCATAATGGCTCAAAACTCAGTAGGACCACCACCCGTAGATCTGTGCAGTTGGAGGAAGTATTGTATTGTTTTCTCTGTGTGTCTGGATCTTGAGTCGTGGCTGTCCCTGTCACTGTGGTCCTGCCTGACGCTCACCTTACTGCTTCTTTGATGGCACCCAGAGGATTGTTGACTTCCACCTGGACCCATCTTTAACTTCTACTTATTTATAGACACATGCATTTTCAAAGCATTTGGACTACCTATGTTGTAAATGTATTATCTTTTTAATTTACACACAACGTCTATTGCCGTCTGTCCGTCCTGGGAGAGGGATCCCTCCTCTGTGGCTCTCCCCATTAACTGGGGGGTTTCTTTGGAAGTTTTTCATTGTCCAAACTGATGGTCTAAGGAAAAAGGGTGTCCTATTCATATTCTGTACAAAGTCCCCTGAGACAATTGTAACATATGTCATATTGGGCTATATAAATAAACTTGGATTGATTGATTCTCTTTTTCGTACATCTGGATGAGTATTTCTGTGGAGGATCATGGCAACCTTCCATTTAACCACCACAGTGGGCTATTTCTATGCACATATTTCTCTTCTGCTTCCTCGTCTCCAAATCTTAAAATGACAGTGTCCTGTTGCACATAATGCAACTTCCAGAACACTTGTGTGGACGTCGGTATGAAGGGAAAAGCGCTGAGCCATCTTAAAAGAAAATAAATGTCACTGACACTTTTTTTACCAACTAAAAAGTAAGTAAGCAAATGAGTAAGTGTGTATATAAGTTAGGAAGTATGCAAGTAAAAGTAAGGAATTTAGAAACTAAGTAAGTAAATATGAAAGGATGTAAGTACGTAAGTGGGCAAGCAAGTAACAGTGATGCAAACACAGGTATGGTGAAAAAAGAGAGAACTATTCGAAGCAGGAAAAAAACAGCGTAATATACCATCTGACAAAGGCCTGTGCTATAATCCTTTTATTTAATTAACTGGCTATTCTTTATAATATACTCAGATCAATAGGAGAAAGAGATGTTAAGTTATAAATCAAGGGTTTTTATTTTATATTTACAGCAGGGGTGGGGAATCTTTTTCCTTTCAATTTTTACAACATCCTCCGAGGGCTGTACAAATGATTGAACTCAACCTCTGCTTAAAAAAACTAAAATCACAGCCAATTCATTTGGCCTTTCTTTCATGCTGTGCAAAGAAAAAGCAACCTCTGAATCCAGATATCTTACCATGAGTCGCGTATACATGTATGTGCACGGTGTGGCATGACCATCAAAAAAAGAAAGATATGGACACAAGATGTGTGCAAATGTATTTAGTATCCATGTGAACATGATTTAAGTGGGGGGGACCTAACCTCCTCTAGGGGGGTCCGGGGGCATGCTCCTCCGGGAAGATTTGTTTTTAAATATTGAAGTTAAAAGCATCAATCTGGTGCACTTTGAGAGCAACATGAGGAGATATATGGGTACATCTTTCAACACCCATTTGAAACAGAACTGTAAGCAGATTTTTCTTTTTGGATATTTTACAAATCACTCCCCTTTTAAACTCTATTCTTGTTACTTTTAACAACTTTTTTGTTACAGTCATATAGTATTTTATACCTGTTTTTAATTTAGTCTCTAATGTCTCATTAATAATTGTAATGATCATATCAAGGTGTGCCTTAACCTCCCTGAGCTGAGGTTATTTGAGCCTCTCAGGAGAGAGCTCTCTTCCGCCTGGTTGTAGAAAAGCTCTTTAAATTTGTTAGCATAGCTAGCTAACCAGATGCTAATAACAGATCGCCACTGTGCTTGCAACTAAAGACACAGCCACGCAAACACTGCGGCATGTGTACGGCTCCTTATGGGTACTGCAATATTTGAAGAGCTGGAGCGGCGTTCCGGTGCTCTCCGTAAGCACTCAAGTCTACACTCCTTTCAGACGAGACATGACCACGTGAAGACACATTACGCTCGTGTTGTGTTCAAGGAACCTGTCCTTGGTCAGGAAAAACAGGCACTCGCTTGTTTAATTATTTTGCGATCTAGATTTCTTCTTCTTTTTTGAAGTGAGAAGTTGTCCGTCCGTCAGTCGGACGGACTAACGGACGGACGGACCCCACAACGCGTTACTGATAGTAGTGATAACGTCGGACATATTCGCTACTTCTACTTCTAAGGAACTCAAAATATGATTATTAATATAAACTTACGCATTGGTCTGTAAACCCACTTCAGAGATACAGGAGTGGTGAGAATATCGAATAATATGTTCACTACGTTAATCAGCGAGCCGGAGAGAACGAAATTGGCGCGAAACGCCACTAGGAACACATTGAGACGCGTTTGGCTTCTCAAAAGCACCNAACAAGTTGCATATTTGCATAACGTATTCAAGTGTTACCATTTAGTGCAATAGTAGCTACAGAACATGTACTGTGCTGTGTAAAGTGTACTGTATCACATAGCGTTTCAGACACACAAACTTTTCAACTTTCAAACTTAAACGGTGCGCTCCCAGCGCACGTACCGGCAGTGATCTACAGCAGCGGTTTTCAACCAGTGGTACGGGGACAAACTGTCTCGCTCTCGTAATGTCTGTCTGTCTTGCTCTCGTTCTGTCTCTCGCACCACTCTCGGTTCCACTTTTACTTTTGCGCGCTACCTGTCTCACTCTTTTCCGGCCTCCAGCTTTTCCTGCTGGAACCCGCCGCTTAAAGGTGGGGGTCCGCGGACCGGCCATAGAGCCCATAGAGTTAAAGGTGGTGGACTGTAACCTGTAAAATCCATAGATTTAGGAGGTCCCCTAGTGGCCGTTAGCTGTAAAAATCCATAGATTAGCCGCACCGTTATATAAACCGCAGCGTCGAAAAATGGGGAAAAAAGGCGCGGCTTATCGTCCGAAAATTACGGTAGTCGTATTGATGAGACAAATTATAACTGTCTTGTTTGTCAGCTCAAGCCGAGGTGAAGTTGGCAGAGAGCCTGAAGGCCGATCGCTCATCGGGCTAAGATCATTGGTGGTTGTGGGTGCGGGTTAAGGAGTTCTCTGATCGCGCCTTCCTCAGGTTCCTTGTGTGTTGCAGACCCGGTGGATTATCACCTGGACCTGTGTTTGTAATCTTGTCTCCCTTTTTTCCAGGAACAAGAGTTCCTTCAGAAGCAGCAGCAGGATCTGGACAGCGATCTGAAGAAGATCATCCAGCAGCACAAGCACGAGCTGGCCACCATCGAGAGAGACTGCCTCAACCACAAGCAGCAGCTCCTCCGAGGTAAAACATGTACTGTCGTTAGGGGTCGCTGTGTTCAGACGAGGGCTGCTCTCACCCAAAGATTCTCTGTTAGCCGACCTGTACCCATCAGTTCAAGCGATCGGTTGACAAGTCGTTGCACGTTTATGATATATTATGATTAATAGTAATATATATTTTCTCGGCTTCACAAAATGTTGTTAAGATGATCTACAAAATAACAAAGCAAATTATCCTTTAATTAACTGTGGAAAAAACATTTTCATTTAATTTTGAAACGTATGTAAATATAACATTAAATAAATAACACACAGGCAACTGTAGCCTGTTAGCAGCTAGCAATATTCCAGGAGCTGCACAAACAACACTTCTCAGAAATCTAACGTGAGGCTGCTACTTTAGCGACGTTTCACAGAAAGTAAAAATAGAAATGTCATTTAAGTTTGTTGATTAAGCATTCAGCTGTTCTAATGAGGTAACTTCAGCCCACTGTCATGTGTTCTGCTCCGTCCTGTTATTCTCCACAGCAGACCATCTAGTCATACTGAACGGGGTTGAAATGTTGTAAAGAAATCCCCCCCAAAAAGCCTGTGAATGCCTCTTGTGAATCACTTTGTCTTTTGTTCCCTTGTGTGTCTGCATACAGCTCGTGAGGCTGCTATGTGGGAGCTGGAGGAGCGCCACCTGCAGGAGAAGCACCAGCTGTTCAAACAGCAGCTCAAAGACCAATACTTCATGCAGAGGCACCAGTTGCTGAAGAGACACGAGAAGGTACCGTATTCCCTTTTCCCCACTGAGGCGCTTTCAGGGCCGCTTCAGAGCCCTGAAAGCTGCTTTAACCAGCGACAGCACTTCATGGCGACAGTTGAAAGTCGTTGCAGAAGCAATAGCTCCGAGATGGAAAAGTGTCTAGAACAACACCACATACCTATATATAATCGTCACGCAACATTAACCAGGCGTACATGTGACAAATTATTTATTATTCACAAGACTTTGAATTACAACCCGTTTGCTATCATATGTGGCAAGGAATACATCCTAATTCAAAACATTTATGGCGAACAAATAATATGCCATACGTCTGTGCGTTTAATGTTCTGCAAAAGTGAGTTTTATATAATGTGTGATCGCATTCTGCCATTAAACATGGAAGAAAAACAAGAAAATATTTAGATTGTTGTTTCTTAATCTTGTTATTGATTTTTCAGACTGGCTTTCGTGGCTGGGCTTCCATCATCCATGTGAGACGAGAGACACTTCACATTATATAATCCTTTAATTATGGAGCAATCGAGCCAAAAATTGTCAAATAAAACTGAAAATAAGTTACATTTATGTGGAAATGTGCATCAGTGGATGCTACTGGTTAGTTAGTCACACTGAATTGCTTCTTTCGAGCAGTAGGGAAACGGTAGGATATATGCTGGTGAAGGCAAATGCTGAACCCTAGAGGCATAATATTAGCCATTTAACAGAAAAAGAGAAGTCACTCTTGCATCTCAATATGGCTTTGTGTTTTAAATCACAACATGAGCACAGCTCCAACATAGTCTGCCATTGTTGTTGTCGTTGTGAGGGATATTCACACTGGTGTTGCTGCAAAGTATACGGTGACGTCCTGACGTGGTTCTTCTCAGGCTCTGTTCAGTGGAAAGGCAAACTGGTTCTTAAATGGTTTGCAAGTTAATTCCACTGCAAACCAAACTAGCCCCAGCACGGAACTAGAACAGAACTCATTGCAGTGGATAAGGGGTGATTGTAGCTCTTTTACACAACTCATACAACCTCCAAAACAACCCCTCAGTTTTGTTTCTGTAAAAATGTCAGCATTAAAAGTGAAAGTTTGAAAAGTTGCTCTGGAAGCTCTTTTCAATGGTGTGTGTGTGTGCCTGTGTGTTTCCCTGTACAGGAGATGGAGCAGATGCAGCGCTACAACCAGCGTCTGATCGAGGAGATGAAGAACAAGCAGACGCAGGAGAGAACCCGGCTGCCCAAGATCCAGCGCAGCGAGGCCAAGACGCGCATGGCCATGTTCAAGAAGAGCCTCCGAATCACCGGTGCCTCCATCACCCCCGAGCAGGAGAGGGAGAAGGTCAAACAGGTGAGCAGCACATTTAATAGGCTTTTGTCTTGTATACAACATAAAGAATAGTAGCCTTTAAAACCCCAAATGTGTCTGTCTCCCAGTTTGCAGCCCAGGAAGAGAAGAGGCAGAAGAACGAGAGGCTCCACCAGCATCAGAAGCATGAGAACCAGATGAGAGACCTGCAGCTGCAGTGTGACGCCAACATCCGGGAGCTGCAGCAGATGCAGGTAGAGATTTAAAGGAGTACACTCACCTCACACTTTTATTAATCATTCATTCATTTTTGTATCAACATTTAACATGCAGTACTGTTTCAGTTTAGAATTCAAGAGAACAGTAAGTTGTTTTATACACTTCCTCCCTGTGTGTGTTTCAGAACGAGAAGTGCCACCTGCTCATCGAACATGAGACCCAGAAGCTGAAGGAACTGGACGAGGAGCACAGCATGGAGCTGAAGGAGTGGAGGGAGAAGCTAAGACCCAGGAAGAAGGTAGAGTATCTGTTTCCTCAGCCTGCAGTGTAATCGCACAAAACGTTACTCCATTACTAATACAAACTGATGCAAACGGAATATATTGCTATTTTAAAAGGTTAGTTTGGATAACTTTGAAGTGTGGTTATTTGAAGTACACCTGTATAGTGTATAACATACAGTAAATGGCAGTTTGGAGAAAAAGACACAGAAGCTAGAACAGGGGTCGGCAACCCCTGGCACGCGTGCCACCGTAACCAGTGGCACACTAGGAATTAGTGGAATAAGTGTGCCAAATATTTACATTTTATTTTTCGGATCCTGAATGATACCGCCGCCAGGGCGCGTCTCCCCGTTACCTGCAGAAGGAAGCCATGCACGCAACACAGCCCCGCTCTCTTTAACTCCAGGTGACTTTCTGCTGCTTTCCTCCGTGGTGCAGTGCTGATCGTTTCACAGAGGAAAGCGCTTCACAAATTGCAGTACCCATAAGGAGCTGTACAAATGCCGCAGTTTTTGCGTGGCTGTGTCTTTAGTTGAAAGCCCAGTGGCGATCTGCTCATCGAAATAATATGCTACAAAGGGGCGGACTGGCCATCTGTGTGTTGAACTTTCCTGTCGGATCCCAGACCGTAGTCGAGGAAACAGGGGGGATGACTCTCTGTCGTCTCCCTGGGCAGAAGCAACAAGCTTCAGGTTCAATAACCCACTTTAGCTTGAATGACTGGAGAGAGGCGAGCGCTTCTTGGGAGGCCGCTGCATTTATTTAGTAGTTCTTCTGTTTCACAAAATACATCACAGACTCGTTTCACTTCCAGAAACATACACACGCTCGCTCTACCATCCACACACACACATGCACACGCCACACCCCTCTCTCTCTCTCTTAAAGGGACAGCGATCTCATCTCATTCTGCATGGCCCTAATATCATAACATGTGTGTTCTGGAGAATCACAGAACGGACGATCGTCCTTATTATTATGCCGTTTAAACCAATTATTTAAATGTGTTGCGCTTACAGGTCCACACACTGCTTCCCCGCAGCAAGGCTCCTCCCACCCTCCTGTTGACAGTTCACGAGCTTCGAGCTCCTCACCCCCCGTTGATAATTCACAATCGTCGGCACGCTGATAACATTTTTTTTTTGCAATGGCACTTCATATCAAAAAGGTTGCCGACCCCTGAGCTAGAGTATGTCAACAGCAAAACATATTATAGTCCCCTTTGCTGTCAGACAGCCTTTCTGCTCTACCACAAAGTGATAGGATGAAAGCTACATTTTTTCATCTAGCTGTCACTAGTTTTTATTCACATGACCATTGTGAAAACCTGGAGGGCCCAACTCAGTTCCAACACTGCGTCTAACACTGGGACCTTGTCAGACCATCTTTAAAAACGCACGCGTGTTCAGATCACCTCTCAAAGCGGAAAAACTAAAATATTTAAACAAACAGCAATTCTTTGGAACCTGTTTCCTATTGACACCAGCAGCTAAAGTACAATCATTTAAAAAGTTTAGTCCCTCATGGAGAAGCACTTCAAAGACAGAAATTGCTAACTTAATATGCCTAATACCTTATAATGCTGCTAAGATTAGTGCATACAAAAGTACAGACAGTGATCTGAGCTTTGCATGTGAAGAAATGTTAGGAAATTAGCTAACTAATGTTGGTTGCATGGGAAGTCACCTACTGGAGTTAGCCTTTCTAACGTTTCAGTACTGAAAAGACAGGTAGCGTAAAAGCATTTCTGCCAAAGTGTTTAAATGACCCATACTTGAGGGCTACTGCTGAATAACCGTTTTGGTTTTCCTGTGTGCGTCCTGTAGGCCCTGGAGGAGGAGTTTGCCAGGAAGCTGCAGGAACAGGAAGTGTTCTTCAAGATGAGCGGGGAGTCCGAGTGCCTTAACCCCTCCTCCCAGAGCCGCATCTCCAAGTTCTACCCCATCCCCTCCGTCCACTCCACGGGTTTCTAGTTGAAACCTTGGCACACGTGCACAGACACAATCATGGACGTGATGAGCATACACACACACAAACCGACAGTAAAGAACCCGTGCTGCCTTGCCTTCATCCTCTGAAAACAGTTTGAGGATGTCAGGAGGTATGAAGGCGATTTTCAGATTCAGTGTTTCGATCCTCGCCTCAAAGTGAAGTATCTCTCTCCCCAACCTTCTTTCCATGATTGAACTGTTTTTATAATAAATAATCCAGTGCCTGTAGAATGTTATCTGTTTGGCTTTTAAATGCAAGCAATTTCAAATAAGTATTTGCTGCTCTTTTTCTCTCATGTAGACATTTGCTCTCAGTAAGGATAGCCTTTTTATACCACTTATTTAAAATTTCATATGGCTAGATACTAAATAGCCACCTTATCATTTATAATTGATCATAAAATAGATGTACTTCTGCTATAGGAAACCCATTTAACTCTCTTAAGGTGATATATTTGTATCTTACATATCTCTTCTAGGCTGATTTGAGGTTAAATGATGCATGACTTCCAAATAAGCTTTAGGAATATTTTCCAGCAGAAATGATTCCTTCTTTACAGTTTTTTTTTTATCAGAATGCCTTCCTGTCTCGAGCGTGAGAGTTCTTAGCATCCAGCAGAAAGTTATCGTTGCATACAGTAGAGATGGTGTTTACATACACAAAGGGTCATTGTTAGGAAACCACTGTGGGGCAGAAACAAAGACTGCCGCATTTATGTACCTGTTTGTTGCTCTGGTTTCTATGTTTTTTAGGTAACACCACTTTATTGTTGTCAAGCAGAAATTGGAGCATAATTCAGGGACTTTTCATTGATGTCGCTTCAGAAAATGTGAAGACATTTGTTAGAGTTTCTAAAGCCTGCCTTACAAAATCCAACATATTTCTGTTCAGTTAAACGATAATCTGATGATGACGAATCCTGTGTGTTTCCTTTGGTTCATATGGCTCATCATAATGTTTTTGCTGCCCAGCATGTCCTTGATATCGGATTGTTCTTATTGAAATACTGTTTTCATTGCCGTGCTAGCTAATAGCCTTAATACTTTAAAACAGCTGTATAGATATACTGTATACCCGATGTGATCGTCTTTAAAGATTTTGGTAAGGCTTATGGCTTAATGTGCAGCTCTGAAGCAAATTCTTTGAATGATTGCATCTGTATTCAAAGAAACAAACGGTGCGCTTAGCTTCTCTTATTTTTATTAAGGCAGATGTATTATGAATGATGTCAAAGCAATGTAATATTCGATGCGGTTGTGAAAACAAACAAAAATGGACCTAACTGGTTTAGGCCATCCTAACTTGTGATTGGGTCATTCTATCATCTAATTTCCTTATGATTAGCTATTGAGAGGTAAGGTATTTTAATTCTAACATTGCATCGAAGTGCTGTGCACCTTTTACGAATCTTTCTCTGCTGAAACTGCAACCCCCACAATGCAGCATCTGTAGCTTATTCATTCAGAAGAGGTTTGCAGAATACAACAATATCATTACAAAATAAACAGTTAGTCTGTTGTCTGTTTTATTCTTCAAAAAATAATAAAAATAAACTGAATGTTGACTGAAACAATGTTATCCATATCAAAAGCATTATGCATTTTTTAAATAAATGTATAGTTTTTAGAATACTTGTCTAATGTAGATTTTCATTTTGCTGTAAATAAACATGTTCCTCTGTACTACAGTTGTCCAGTCTTTCCGCCTATACATGTAATTATCTGATAGTGAGAAAAATCTTCTCTAAACAATTATAAGCACTGATACAAAAAAGTTGAATAAGAAAGTATGAACAGAAAGACAACTTCATGAAATCCCACAAATATAAGATATCCCCTCAATACAGTGTAGGCCTATCAAACAAGCTAATTCAAAGCTATACAGTCTTTGATTACACACAACACACAAGACATTCAGAAATACAAAAATACTATCATAACAACTGTAACTGTCAGTATATTCACCATCTTTATACACACCAGACTCCACATAAAACGTTTACCAACCAAGTCGACAGTTACACTCGAACGTTCCTCTTCCTTCTTTTAACAGTCAGTGTGGATTCTCCTGTGAAACAAAAGTTTGATTAAAGTGTTGCTTGATGTGACGTGCTGTAAACATTCACCTTCCAGTTGTCCAAGCAAGTCGAATCAAACATTCTAAAAATATTCGTAGAAAGTATTTGAAGCTTCAAATAAACTAATCCAGGCTAAAATCATGTTAGCAAGCTAACATTAGCCTGTTCATGCTAATCCTGCTAGCTTTGTTTTTCACATACTGTCTATTGGTTTATCATATTGAAGGTTAAGTAATCTTGATTAACTTGTTTTCTGGAAATGAAGCCAGCATGTAAAGTGTTAAAAATAAGATAAGCACTCAATAATTTGCTAAAATCTTGTTAGCTAGCTATATCGTACAGGTGTAGCAATGATTACTTGGCTGAACACGGCGGCTACAGACAGCAGCACACCTTGAAGGACCGGTTTTTCTGTCTTTTCTTAAATACTAGCCAGTTCGGAGCCCAAATTAACTCAAACCATGGGCTACGAAGGGTGGGTTACGTATTGTAACCCTAGTTATATAAGCACAGGCGGAGCCCTCTACTGGACACCATGGGTACTACCTCTCAACCATACTATGCGAGCATTCATCAACTGAAATATCTAACCGTAGCGGGCCTACCTGAATGCGCACGCAAGCCCACCGTATATAAGGCGGCCTCGCCTCCTGGCTGTCATCCTACACTTCTCTTCAGCGAGCAGTATAGGACAGACAGGGCCCCGAGTAGAGGGCTCCGTCTGTGCTTATATAAACAGGGTTACAATACGTAACCCACCGTTATATCTCATACAGGCTCCGCCCTCTAGTGGGTGGAGCCCTGATGCCTAAACGCCCTGTCGTCCAACAACATCGAGTCACCACACTGCCCCTGACTGGCTTTTGGTTACCAGCCCCTGCACCGCAACCCCCTCTCCCCCGGTTGCGACCGTGGAGAAGTGGGGGCCACAGTTTACCTGGCTGGTAGGGCACACTCAGACACGCTTACCTCGTGAATAGTGTGCCTGGAAAATAGTGAGAAGGGCGCTCCCTGCCTGCCGGGCTTACTGCGCAGTGCGCACCACGTTTCCCGGGTCCCTAAGGAGCATGGGAAAACATAAGTGCACTATGTCCAGCCCTGTTTTGCCTCAGCAAGCACAGATAATGAGAAGGAGCCAGACATGTCAGAGAGATAAAACCTTATGAAGGGGCCTGGCGTGGACCAAGATGCCGCTGCACATATGTCCTCCACACTCACTCCGTTAAATAAGGACACAGCCATACCCCGTGTAGAGTGTGCACGGACCCCCGTGGGGAAGGCTCTCCCCGCCTGTCCGTAGGCATGTGAGATGCACTCGCACAAACGGTTGTTCAGTGCGCCTGGCAGCCATGCGCTCCACATAACATGCTAGCGCAATTTAGCCTCCCTGGCCCCACTATGGGGTGGAAGATTAAAGCCCCCTAACTGAATAGCCCTTGACCTGAACAAGCTCCTTAGATTCATGGGAACAAAGGAGGGGTTCGGTCTGAGTGTCACCCCCTTGTTCAGGTCAAGGGCTATTCAGTTAGGGGGCTTTAATCTTCCACCCCNATGCAACAGCCATCTCGTCCTGCCATGAGAGATTTGGCGGCAGGTCAGCCTTCAGTCAGCCGCTTATGTTGCGGTTTTTGCAGGGGGTCAGGAGGCAGCGCCCAGTAGTGCACGCCTCCGCCCCGCAGTGGGACCTGCCGTTGGTGCTCGAGGCTCTGGTCACAGAACCATTTGAGCCTCTGGAGCTCTCCTCCCTGAAAGCACTGTCATGGAAGACAGCGTTGCTACTTACCTTTACACCCTGTCGTCCAACAACATCGAGTCACCACACTGTCCCTGACCGGCTTTTGGTTACTAGCCCCTGCACCGCAATCCCCTCTCCCCCGGTTGTGACCGTGGAGAAGTGGGGGCCGAATAGTGTGCCTGGAAAACAGTGAGGAGGGCTCACTAGCGTTGCTACTTGCCTTAACTTCGGCCAAGAGAGTGAACTTCGGCCAAGAGAGTGTCCGAGCTGACCCAAGTTGCTTTGTGATCCGGGGTGACCATAGCGGGGCGACATTCAGACCGAACCCCTCCTTTGTTCCCAAGAATCTAAGGAGCTTGTTCAGGTCAAGGGCTATTCAGTTAGGGGGCTTTAATCTTCCACCCCATAGTGGGGCCAGGGAGGCTAAATTGCACCTCCCCTGCCCGGTGCGTGCGCTAGCATGTTATGTGGAGCGCAAGGCTGCCACTAGGCGCACTCAACAACTGTTTGTGTGCTTTGGGGGCAGCGTGGCCGGTAAACCTCTGTCCAAGAAACGCCTGGCAGGATGGCTGTGCGAGTGAAACTCACATGCATACGGACAGACGGAGAGAGCCTTCCCCACGGGGGTCCGTGCACACTCCACACGGGGTATGGCTGTGTCAACAGCCTTATTAAACAGAGTGAGTGTGGAGGACATATGTGCGGCGGCGTCTGGGTCCACGCCAGGCCCCTTCATAAGGTTTTA